AAGTGCAAAATCTATCCATGAAAATAAATCTACTAATTTAATAAATTAAAATTAAATTAAAACAGTTTTTTTTTAAAAATGCATATTGAATGATTGTAGACAGACTTATCAAGGGAATGTTGCCTCCAAACCTAACTCTCCAATCATTCAATTCGTGTTTCGTCATTCATGCAGGCAAGGGTAAAAGTCAAAACCAAAAGTAATTCCAATAAAGTGGTATCCTTAGAAATTTACATTTAGGTATTAACATTTAAGAATTAAAGTTCAAAAAGGAAAATACTAATTAAGTTTTTTGAGAAACAAGCAAGTAAAGTCAAGGGGTTTTTATCCGCAGAGAACCCATTGGCGCTTCGGGAAAGAACCCGTTGGCGCTGTTGCATTTTTACTCGCCAAGCTCCGATGAGCCGAGCCGTAAACATGGTTTTTAGTGTATGTAAATTCAAGTTAGCAGACAATGGTAGTAAAAATTCCCAGATAATAAGTGTGTAGATGTAAAACTAACAGGTTAAACGTGATATACGAAAATAAATTTGTATTAAATTCAAGTTAGCACAGAAAACAGTGTATTAAGCATAACGGGAAATAGAAATTCATTTAAAAAAATAAAAATTAGTATTCTTATACTTACGTTTACGTTATACTTATATGTATTTTCTGTAATTCATATAGAATACTAATATTTCTTTTACAAGTGTCATTTTTCATTATTAAGTACTTGGCCTGTTGATTGATGTATTTTGGTAAGAGCCATGCCCATGTAATAAATTAATGAATGCATGACCTTCAATACATCCATTTTACATAGTTTTCAGTATTGTTTTTTTTTTTTTTTTTTTTTTTTTTTTTTTTTTTTTTTTTTTCAAGTTACTTGCATACAGCTTAAAGCATTTTACGTTGCAACAAATACCTGTCCTTTTTCATGATATATTTCACAATACAAATAACCTTCAACAGTAATGAAATTTTCTTCAGTAGCATTGTTTAAGTTAATAAAACTAGAACTTTATACATTTTAAAATTATTTTAGGATTTGGAACCTCATGTTCTGCGTGCTTACAACTGTTAATAATTAAGAACATAACGTGAACAGCATGTTACAAATTAGCATTCACCCCCCCGCCATATTTTCTTCCTTTGATCCCGAACTGACGAGCCGAGAACCGGCATCTTTCGATGAAAACTTCTTTAATTATGCGAAAATATTTCTATCTATTCATTGTTAAAAAATTCAGAAAAAATAACAATAAATAAGAGAACAATAATATAAATCTCCAAATGCGAACAACGACAACCTTCGCACAAGCGAATAGGATGAATTAGCTAGGTTACCAGGTTTGAACTATTATCGCCAAAGTTGGCGATGTTTACATTTACCGGATTCTCTGCGGAAGTGCTTCCAAGTCAAGAATTAAACTTTTTCTTAAAAAATTAAATTTTTTATAAAATAATAAAAATCTAGAAACCAATGTATTTTAGAAATCCTTGTCTACAGAAAACTTCCCCTACACGAATATGCATATCAATAAAAAGAAAACTATAAAAGAACTATAGATAATCCATATAAACCAATAAGAAACAAAAAAGAACTAATTCACAATTTTTAAAATAAATATATATTTAAAAATATATTTCATATTAGAAAATACTTAGATACTACATAAAAAATTTTAAAAAATTTTTAAAAAAAATACTTCCAAAAAGTACTAGTAAATAGTAGTTGTAATTCTAACTTACCTACTATTGAGTGTTGGGTCTGCAAAAGTGTTGCAAAAGTGAAGTAAGTGTGTTCTTCAAATTATATAGATGGCGCTTATGTAGGTTAAAGTTGAGTGTCAAGCTGCTATCTTTGTTATATAGCAAAAAATTTTTTGTAAATATTAATATTAATTAATTAAATTAAATTAAAAATCCTAAAAGTAGTATTATGGGGGGGGGGGGGGGGGGGGGGGGGGTGGGTGGGGGGAGTGGGGGGGGGGGGGGGGGGGGGGGGGGGGGGGGGGTGGGGGGGGGGGGGGGGGGGGGTGGGGGGTGGGGGGGGGGGGGGGGGCGATTTAAGATTATTTAGTTAAACTGAGCTAATCAAAGATGTATGTTGCTTGAAGGAAATTAAGTGGTATGTGAAAAAATGTAAACTGTTTGTAAATTGAAATGTGTGTTCAGTTGAAAATATGTGAAAATTGTTAAAAAAATTTAAGTGAAAGATATTTTTTGTGAAAATTGCAAAAAATTAAAGTAATTAAGAAAAACTGAAATGTTTTAATATTAAAGTTTTAAAGTAAAATTTCCCAAAATTTTTTGAAATGAAGTCCTTAAAAAACCTCTAAAAATTCCCAGAAATTTCTCAAAATTTCTTTAGGAAGTTAAATAAAACTTAAATTTGATGAAAGAAAATATTAAAAGTTTAATGAACTTGATTTAATTGGTATATCAAAACTTAACTAAATACTGGCTAAAGTATGGAAAATTAGAAGAAGATTAAAATCTTCACTCAATTCAGGCTATAATTGAGACTTTTGAAAAGAGTTGGCCCTTTATTAGTAAAAGGAAAGAAGTATCCAGTATTGATTAAATATACATATTTACAAAATATTTACAATAAAAATTTACAATAATTTCTCTACTCTTTTATATCCTTCATTACCCTCCATTTAAGGTTTAAGGTAATGTTATCATATCCAAAAGAGCCAAAAAATTATAAAGTAAAGTCAAGGCCTGCCTTTTTAATATATAAATTAATAAATTTTGGTGGTACTTGGTTATCAACTTTTACATTAATTAGTTTTATGATTTCTTCCTTTAAATCGTCATTTTCAGTACATATATTTTTTCTGATAATTTGGCTATGAAATGTGTTTTCTATTACTTTTCTAGAGATATTAGAGAGTTCCAATTAATTAGTTTAATAGTAGAAAAATGGAAATTCCTTCTTTTATCAAATAATTTAATTTTGTTGTGTTTAATAATTTGCAGGTCTAGGAATTCAATAGTATCTTGATTCGTATTCATTTTATTAAGTGTTAAACTATTTGGGTAAATTTTGAATTTCTCAAAAGTAGAATTATTATTGAAAGTTATAATATCATCTATGTATCTAAAAGTATGAGCAAATAGCTTTAATTCATTTTTATTTAAACTGAGTTGGAATTTATATTCAAATGTAAAAAGAAATAGGTTACAAATTTGTGTACAACTGTTTGTTCCCATAGGAATTCCTCTAACTTGCTGAAAGATATTTATTAGAACAAGTTTCTGGATTATCTCCCAGGAAAAGAAAAGAAATTAGGAAGCTCAATAGAAAGTGAACTTTAATGCTAGTGTAGTAAATATTTTGTTTAGTATTGTCTACAGCAAGCAAAAGATTTTTTAATTTAATGTAAATTTATTGACTTTGCAAGGGGAACAAACCAATTTCCAATCAGTTAACAATAATTAATACAAGCAAATATGTTTCGTCGTCTTAATATGCAAGAACCAATTGTAACATACCAAGGTGAGAAGATATTGAGCCAAAACTGATTCAAAGTACTAGTTAAGAACAAATCTTAAGAATATATTTAAGTATTTAAGTATCATTTTATTAAATTAAGAAATTTATCAGTTTGATTCAAAGTACACGTCAAGAACAAAGCTTTAATTATTTAAATAAAGATTTAAATATTCTTGCATAAAATGATCATTTCCCCAAAACATTCACTGCTTTTCATAGTAAAACAATGTAAAAACTACATAAACAAAAAAGGAAGATTTATATAGTATATACATATAAGTAATGTGAATTACACTTAATAATTAAAAATATTACTTATTGAGTTCATAATATTGTTTGTAAGGTATTCAACTGTTACATTTTAAAATTAATCTTTGTTGTACACAAATTAAGACTCATCTTGGATGTCTATATCAGCGATCGGCAACCGATGGTCCAAGAAAACTTTTTGATGGTCCGCAGAAAAATTGGGACATTCTTTATATTTTATGAAGATTCAGTTTAATACCAAAAAATAAGTTATTGTCAATAACTAAAGAAATGGACAAACTTTCATTAACTTAATACAAAGCAATTACCTGCTAACAGTGTGTCTACAGCAAAGCAGCTCATGTTGCTGTTAAGCAAAACAAATACCGCTGCAACCACTGCTCAAGTGAAAAATGCAAGATGGATAATTCATTGTTTGAAAGATTTAAAAAGTGAAATGACATTTATTGCAGATAAAGGCATAAGATAGCTGCCAATATTAATAACGATTATGCTTAAAAATTGTTGAGGAATTTAAGAACTTTGAAAAGGAATAAAACATTTACATCTTATTTTATTAAATCATATTATTAAATTTTTAATAATGTGCAAGTGATATCTTCCAAAAGAAAATGCTTAAGAAAATCTACATTTAAAAAAAGAGAGAGAGAGAAAGAAAGAAAGAAATTAGACCAAGAAGACAAACTTATACTCTTATCGTATACTTGATTATACTATTACAATGCTGATGCTAGTGAGAACCTAAAATATAACGTAACAGCAACTTTATAATACTGCAAAATCAGCATAGCACATCAACAATTTCTCTGTTATAGTAATGTTTGCCTATAGCTTAAAATGACACTACAGAAGCCTTTTCTGTCAAGACCACAATAATAAATAGACTTAATGTTATTAAAGTTTTAATAAAGCTTGAGAATTACAAATAGTAATCTGAATGTAATTTAGACACACTAAACATTATAAACTAATAAATAATTCCAACTAATAAAATCACAGACAAAGATGATATTTCTTTAACTTAATATATACCATACAATGCAGTCAATGTTAGCAAAATATTTCATAATAAAAAGAGAATGATATAAATCCTGATTTGAACTAAATCTACTTAAAAAAAATAATAATAATTTTAACTGCCTAGATTTGGTTGTGAATGTGACATTTATAATTTCTTCCATTTTGCAATTTATTCAGATAAAACAATTCATGATATGTGTAACTTAAAATAATTTATACTCACAATGCCTGCATAGCACTGGAGTTAGAAAGTAGACATTCACAAGGCTGTGTTGATAAAATGGCCGTCTAATCAAACTGGCACTAGCAGCAGCAGCAGCTACAGCTATGAAATAAAACATAGCAATTAATTTTTTTTTTCATTAGTTACATTTTGTATTAGTTAACAATTCTGTCTTTGAAAAAAAGAACCTTAATTAAGAATTTCCATAAGAATTCACAGATGAAATGCCACTGAATAGAATCCAAATTTCATAATTATTTGGGGAATAAATGTGTAATATCCATAACTATGATAAAATTATATTTTTAATTTGGTCTTTCTCTACTGCTTTAAAAAACCTTTCCAGCTCTGTAACTTATTTTCGAGTCTTTTTTTTTTTTTTTTTTTTTTTTTTTTTTTTTTTTTTTTTTCTAATTTTTAATAAATTAACTATTTTTCTACTTTTCAACTTCACATATAAAATTTGATCTAAGTTTATTCTTGTTGAACAAAAAATTCTTCCTAAGTTGGAAAGCATACACACACAGTATATCAAATGACTGCTTAAATGCTGAAAATTATTTCTTAAAGTACTGAAAGTGTATTAGGTATAGGTTTCACTATTATTTCTTTAAAAATAATAATAATTAATTAATTAAAAAAGAAAAAGAATGCAATTATTTTCTAGCTACTTTTCATTTGGTAAATACAGAAATATCTCATCTACAAGCTTATTCAAAAAATGGGAATTCATAAAGTAAAGTATAATCATTAACTGAAATTTTGTCTCAGAAATCATGCTGTAATGATAAGCTATCAAGCGATCATTTTATGTTAGATGGAAAAATTTTGACAGTTTAAAGTTTTAAAACAGAACTTAATTCTTAAAAGATTCATTCGTAATCCTGAGGTTTCAAAAACCAAAAGTTTGTAAACAACAGAACGACTGTATATTTTAAAATATAACAACATTACAGCAATGATTATTTCTTTATCAATTATAATATCATTTTAATTGCGTGATTTAAAATATATCATTTTATTAAATTATTAATCAATTTTTACATAGTCCTTTGCTATAATATATATTGAAAGTACCTTTTAAATTTATTTGAATCTGTGTAGTACTGCAATCAAATAGTCTACTATTATATCTTATATTAATATATATGGGTATATATTATTATTATAGTTTAATATTAATAAAAAGAATATTATGAGCATTATGATTAATTAATTTTAAATCTGCATAAATTAATAGTTCAGCTTTATATATATAAGATTAAATAACCATTAATATTTTTTTCATATTTAAACAAGAAAACATTGATAACAGATCTACTTCATAAATATAAATGCATAAATATATGTTATCAGATTAGTTAAAAAAGTATTCAGAAAAATATGGTCGCTTATTTTCAGACACTATAATCAATTCAGATTAATAAATTGCAATAAATGTTAAAATTCGCAAGAAGAATCAATTTAAATTTGATTAGCTCCATTATCTATTTATTACTGCAATATAAAATAGGATGGCTTCGTAAGATGAAGAAGTTGATTATCATTTTGTAATGAATAAAAAAAAACTGCAAGAAATTTCAAAAATTCAAAATGTAAGTAAAAAATAATTGGCAAAGACAGAATTTAACTCATTGCCTATATTTTAATACTATTTATATACCTCCAAAAAAATATCAATAACAGTATCAACTGAAATTGTGGTAAGGATGGAGGATCTTAAAAATTATAGCAGGAATTTTAAAAACCCTTTAAGTCAAGTCTACTTAATCTAACTGTAACTAAATCTATAAAACCACCTCAATTATAAGCAAAGCAGTGCAAAATTTAGGTGGAATTTAGGATAGGAAGAGGATAAAATATTTATATATGAACTCATTAACATAACATGCCTGATAAAATACAATCCTCTTCTCTAAATTACTCATTATTTGATGTCTATCAATCTGGTACTTTTCTGTTGCATACCTGCCATGCATTTTGGCAGGATTTTCATTGTTAATTATTTTTAGTTATAAGAATAGTTTATAGATGGCCCATATGCATACAAGATATTTTTCTGTTACAAACACATACCAAAATGCATGACAGGTGCATAGCAGAAAAGTGCCATCAATTCTAACATATAAATTTGAATTACACCATCACACAGCATAAAAAAGTAGTAATTCTCTTGTACAGTCAAAAGTTGTTAATCCGGACTCGTCGGGACTTCGGCGATTCCGGATTATCGATTTTTCCGGATTATAGATCATCAGTTTAAATCTCGTAAGATGGCATGCAGAAATTCTAAAATTAAAAATATGAAACCCGTAAATTTATGAAATAAAGAACAATTATGATCTAAAGGGTATCAAAATTTACAAAAAAAAAAAGCTTAATATTTATTTGTTTACTTTATTAAACATTTCTTTCAATGTAAGTTGTTTAAGTTGCTTCGTTTTTATGTGATAATACATTTCTCTTTTAATTCTATAAACAGACATAATTTCTTGTTTCAGTTACAAAGTTCCGCTGTTCAAGTCCTATAATTGCTGTGTCGAGAATACCGACTAATTTGTCAATCGAAATTTTTTCGTTTTCACTAACGTCTCTGTCACCTTCTTCATGTCTTTATCCATTTTTTGCAGCAATTCCACTTTTTGTTGGACATCGAAACATACTTTCGTTTTGTAGATCCTTTGGAAGTTCCAGCATCGGAAATTCTATTTGACATAATCGAAAGTTCAAGTTTACTTTTATAAAATTGCTCTTACAGTCTGCAAAAAATAATCAGCGGGATCCAATTCGAAGATTAAGGAACAACGCAATCATTAACATTAACTGAAATAGATAATTAGATAATTTTAGCTTACACCGTTTGTTATACATTAAACGCGCAGGCGAAAACGTATTCTGCACTTGCGCACACGCATATGCGCAGTAGTCAAGGTCTTACGCGCACGCGTAAAATGCCTGTGCGTATGTGCCAATGCGGCACATGCGCAGAAAGTTTTTAGCTTTGAGGTCCGGATTATAGATCATTCCGGATCATGGGTGTCCGAATTAACGACTTTTGAATGTATAATTAGTGAAACATTTTTTTACAATATTTAATGATTTTGAAAAATTTCAGACATGATTTAAAATTATTCCCGCAATAATCTACAGTAGCATCCTGCGCACTGAATGATTTACATAATAAACAGTATTCTGTCATCGGGATCAGATTCAGAAAGGTATGCATGTATGTATGAATATATGTATGCATGTGTATATGTACATATGTATGTATGTGTGTGTATACACACATCTGCACATACATACATACTCACATTTCTGAATATATGTGCATATACATTTCCGAATCTGCTCCCAATAATAGAAGAGTACATAATAGGCAGCATCATGGAACAGATTATATCTAGTATGCGAGGCATTATATATATTTACTTTAATTTTATCTGAAATGAATATCCATAACAATATTTTATTAATGAGATTTCAATAAATTTATTTCACAGTTTTATTACATTAAAGATTCCAAAGCAAATGCTTAAAAACCTGAGAAATGTTCCATCTAAGTTACTGTCCATGAAATCCAAATACTTAATCACAACAGTAATTAATGAGTTATTATTTTTTTAAATGCTATATTTTTTGACATATTATGAGAATGGCGGTTTTCCTCATTTTAAATATAGTTTTTTATTTAAATACAATGGAATGCTTAGATAAAATAAGAAGGTGCACAGAATATTTTAAAAGACCAAAAATTATCTATTCTGGCTCAAAACTTAAATGAATCAAACATGCATTTAACACAAAAGTATTGAAATTCAATTAAAAAAGTTACAAAACAGAAATTTTTTATTTGGAAAATATCCATAACTATTAAATTTAGTACCTGGAGATCCAACATAACCTGAATCATTATTTTCTTCAATATTTCTTGTCACTGGTTCAGGTCGAGGAACTGGTCTTTGGGGTACTGGAGTCGGTGGAGCCAATACCTCAGTTCTAAGGTATTCAACGAATGTTCCTGGAAAATATCCACATTCATTTGTTCTCTGATTTCTGCCAAGAATCCAGCCTTCAGGGTTTTCTTCTGTTCCTTCCAATGTAAACTGGAAAGGTTTCTTAACTTCGAGGACATCACCAACTTCTAGTGATATCTCCGAGTCATCCCCTTTTACATACTTATACTGAGAACGATAGAATGCTATCTCACCCATAACATCAATCTATGCTTTGGTAATTTTTTTAAGCACAACAGATTACATAGGTGGTGGTTTATGACACTGGAATAAGTACCTCCAATTCATCTCAGCACACAAACAAATTTCAGCTGATTGTCCTTATAAAAGAATATAAAACAGGGAACAGTACATATGTAGACTGCAACTGCTTGAAGTATTGCATATTTGGTATCCAGTATTACTTACTGCAGTATTCCAAATCCTAAGAAAAAAAGAAACAATAATACTAAGGGTTACAAATTTTCTGAAAAAGAAGCCACACAGAATAAATATAAGAATAATAAACTCCGTTAGCATTTACTAGCAATGATTTAAAAAAAAGGACTATAATTATTTTATGAAATTTTTATACCTCTCTTATGAACTACATTTGTAAAGAAAAACTGTACATTTTAATATACATTTAAGTTGTATTTTAAAAGACTAGAAATTTTGTATGAATATTCAGACTCGGTAAGTCCTTTACAAATTATGTAGACTCAGTACTTGGTTAAAGACTTAACAAATCTACCTTCCACTTTTCCCCATAATACTTATATTAAATTTAATAGAAATTATGATTAGACAAATGGTTCAGTTCTCGGCTGGATTGAAGTTGAAGGAACAATTCCTTTGAATGCATTTAAAAAAATTTGGATATTCCATTTATACTATAATATTTGTTAAAATATTTTATGTTATTCAAGGCAAGAATTATTAAAGGAAATGAAAAAACAAAAAAAAGAACATTCAAATGTTGGATAAAAGTATATTCAAACAAAAATCTTGAAAATATTTTGGATTTTCTTTAAAATTTGATAGAGTTTTAGTGAAAGAATCAAATTTTTTTCTGTATAGGACAACCTGTATCAAACAATTTTCTCTAGAAAGATACATCTGTCATCTTGTTACTTCCAGCATAAAACATACTTTGCTTACTGGCTCATTCGACCGTGGTTTTCCCTCCCCCCAATGAACACAGGAAATGTGTCTGTTAGATTATGATTTCAGCAAACAAAGAACAAAACAATAGTACATTAGAACCTTTTCACTGGCAATACTTATTTTAATATGTACAACCAGAGTACAAAAAATTATGGGTATTTAGTGTGGTACAGCAATGCTTTCTGTGGCTATCTGCCTAAGAGGAGAGGTACTTTCATGGACGAAAGTTTTCCAACTTGAAAGCTAAGAAAATAACTAAATGATTAAATAAAACAAGGCAATATGTATTATATAAACACAGTACTTCAAGAAAGGATCCAAGATAAACTGGTACTTTATAGAATTAAAAAGTGGCATCCCCTCCAAGTGCATCTCTGTGAAAACTGTGATGTGGCATACGTTTCTATATACTACAGAATGCTGATTATGTACATTTGATGAACTGACAAACTGAATACAACATAACAATTTCAGTTATTGCTAGAATATTACACTGAAGGTACAGCATTTCCAGCCGATTAAAGTAATACTACAAAGCACACAATGATGCTAATATTCTCACAAATGTTTCCTACTAAAAGAAAAACACGAGGTAGACAGCAAAATGGGAAATTTGGACTTTAGAACAACTTCATCATGCAAGTTTAATGGCAAATACTAATTGTGGTATAACAAGTACAGAAAGTGCATGATCAGAAAATTTGGCAAATCATAGCCCACTACAAAAGAGCAAACAATGAATGTCAGAAATCTGGATGCATTAAAGCAGAAATTACATAACTTAGCTCCCAAAACTAAGCTTGCTTTTCCAATTACTCATTCTGTTTTTAATCCATGTACAAAGTAAAATGATAATACATATTAGATACATAAAAGATAAATGCATTGAAAGGCTTAGAAATGTCAGGTGTCCTATAAAAGCACAAATTTAATATGTATGTCCAAAAAATATTTTTAAAAAATGGAAAATATTTTAAATATTTACAGGTAAATATTCTGATTGCAAATGAAAAATAAAGTATCGCATATGTCCCCTATGACTGATTCTGCAGCATATCACTCTCTCGATGAAATTCATAATAAATAATTTTTTCACATATCTACCTATCAATGTGATTAATGACACATTCCATTTCCTCTAAGTTTTTTGTTGCTCCACTTTAAAGTCAAGCTTTTTGAGGCTTGCAATAATACTGCCATACAAAATAGTGATGTTTTTAGCAATCCAACTAAATCATGACCCGGTGATTTAATGACTGCTGTTGAATCTGTGTTTTCAAATTTCTTTACCTATCTATGATTTGCTGTTCCATCAGGTGCATTTTCATATTAAAAGATTGCATGAAGCTTCCTAAAAGTTTGTGCTTAATACATGTCATTCTTGTAATGAGTTTTCACAATCAAAATTCTTTGTACTTTTGTATAGCACTCCATGTTGACTAAGCTGAAACAAAACTGGAACAAACAAAAAAAAAAAAAATTGCTTTGAACTTTTGTATAGCACTCCATGTTGACTAAGCTGTAACAAAACTGGAACAACAACAAAAAAAAAAAAAAAAAAAATTGCTGGTGTTACCCGGTCAAATCAAACATAACATTCCTCAATCAGAACATTTACCTGTTATAGGTATGGAAAAATATTTTCCATTTTCTAAGAATAGCATTCTTTCAAGCATATTAAATCTGGTGCTTTTGTTGGGACACTATATAAAACATTAAACAGGCTTAAAAGATATACTTTGCTGCATTTTGCAGATGGCCATTATTTGGCCTGTTTAATATACTAATTAACTATTTGTTACAACTTCATGCATTAATATGCCATCAACCATATTCTCAATATTCCCCAGATTTCATTATATTATGGAATATTTCATCTCATACAAATTTATAATAAAATTAATTTTAATATGATACATAATGTCTGTTTGCAGTGTACTTTATAAGGATAATAATAATAATTTAATTGCAGCAAAAATGTCGACATTTAAAAGCAATGATGAGTCTTTATCATACATATATGATACAGCATGATTTTTCAGTTAATCATCTGTGAAAAAACATAAATACAACATTCAATCAACTGCACTGAATTTTTATTTTTATGCACTGTTCTTTTTGAATTTACTGAACGTACCCCTATGGAAAAATTATTACTTTCTGATTATACACATAATGCTAGTTTCAACATTTGCTAGAATTGCCATATTTTTTATATACTTTCAAATATGCATGAGATAATTGCTAATCCATACATGTGTGTACCTAAATGTCATAAAAATAACCAAACAGTTGGTAACTTTTCATGAAAGAAGGGATAATCAGAAAATATCAAAAAAAAAATGCTTGATGATTAAAATATTTCACAGTTTTATATTACAAATGCTATATTTAACAAATCAAATTTCATAAAGAGAAAAAATTTCAAACTATATAAAAATAAAACACTTGTTTAAAAGTTAATGAGCCCTTTCATGATACGAATCTTACACTGATAGAATTCAAATTTTTTTTAATCATATGCTATAAAAATCCTTTTATCTCACTGCACAATATTTTCATCAGTTGGAATTTATACATAGTCTAAAACAATGATTACTAAACAGAGATTTATTAAATATCAGAAGTTTTATTAGCTATACTAATATATTATTAGCTATTTATTAGTTTATTATTGCGGCTAATCCAACATATTTCACTTAATCAGAGACAAGCCCAAGGATTTTATTGTGGCAAGGAGTGCACCAACTACATCTGTCACTGGCATAAGCCTTAAGAATCATATACGTGACAGTATAACTTTCAGGAGTTCCACTCCAATTTCGAAAGAGAGCACTTTTTGGGATGGGGATTATGATCTCCAACCCCTTTTTTTATGCCACCAAACCACTCAAGAGACCTTTTGGCTGATCATATATTTTGATTGCTCCATACTGTAAAAGTACAAATGCCTTGGGTTTGAAATTGAACCCAAATAACGATACAGCAGCCAGGACCTCAAACTGATCGGGGCATCATTCAACAGTTTAAATATATCAAGTAATATAAAACTACCTATACCATAAATATACCATATATGAATACATTAAATACCAGAATTTTAGATTTCTTAAAATAATCAGCGAAACGACTTTAAAAAATCCACCAATTACTTTATTAGGCAAAAACATTTCATGGAGAAAATGATGCTTTCACGGAGGATTTTTATACAAAAGAAACTAGCTTACATTTGCCTTTCACATGCGAAAAAAAAAAAAAAAAAAAAAAAAGGAAATTCAAACTCCTGGCCGGGCGTCAAACCCAAAAAGAATAATCTTTATTCCACTTAATTATCAATTCTCCACCGGACTTCATATGTTCATATATTTTATATTATTATTTCTGAATCGTAAGGTTATGTAAAATTCGGATTTTATTTTCATGATCAACAATACTGACTTATGTTTATATATATGGCATTAAACAAGTGTAATATTTATAAATACAGCACTAAACCACAGTAATCAATTGGTGCTTGTCAAATACTTTCGATTTCCGTTGATCAGAAGCGAGAGATCTAACACTTTAGGCAAGTATACTCACATTGATTGTGATGACAATGACTTGAGTTACTAGACCAGACAGATAATGATTCATATTTTAGGTATAATGTTAGTTTTAGCACACATTGTTTTCAAATTTCTAGCAGAAGATAACTTCGTTTACCTCCATCTTCCCTAGAATGAGAGGCGTTGCGATGTTTAGGTTCTGCTTCTTGGATTAAAGTTAATAACTATTTTTGTCTAAATGCATTGACTGAGAAAACTCATAATATGAGAATCTGTGTTATCTTATCCTCAATCTGACATAATATTTTAAAATTCAGATTCCTAAACAAGAATTAATAGCATAAACGTAACATTACATTAACAGAAGCCATTTCATGAAAAACTTCATTGTCTTCTAGCAGCATATAAAATCCTTTCCGTTGACAGCACATAAAATCCTTTCCGTTGTTTTAAAACCTTTTCTTTTCAAATTATGGATGATTTGCATTGAATAATTGCAATCATTGGATGCTAGATAAATGAAATGCGTATAAATATTCGATAGAGCACATATTTTAACTACCACCCAAAAGCGTTTTCTACGAAGCGGCTTTTCAACGATCTCGCTGAGCTCGCAGTTTACCAGTCTGTTGTTGCACTTACTTCTGCTAACCCATTTCTTGTTTTTTTTAGTTTTATTATTAAGCATTATTATCCTTGCACTTACGCCATATATAATTTAACAGTAAAATTACAAAACTTTTAAAAGAAGCATGTGTTTAGAATTCCAGATTAAGTATTAAGTGTTGGCATATATTTTCCTGTTTTTTCAGTCTTTTCTCAGTTTATCATATCAATGTACAGTTTTCTTAGTAAGATGGCTTGCAAAATTCTCTTTTTTTTTCGCCTTTTTATTATTAACGATTCATTTGTTAAATTTATTAATTAAATATCGTGTTCTTCGCAATAATACCACACAAAATTCAGTTCAATAGCAAAATCACAAAATATTTAAAAACAGCATATCATTAGAATTATACACTCTCGCGTGCTGGAGATAAAAATGTTTTAATCCGTACAGTGTTGCCACTGCTCACTTTCAAATCGTTGAGTTTGTAGCAAATTCATTAAAGTTTTACAAAATATGAAGTCTAAAACTTGAAATTCAAAATTCGCTTCCACACGCACATTTTTGGGTGGAGCACTACGTTATTCAAAATCTTATAACCTAGCTACGGTCTGTTTTCACAGTGCGAAAAACATACATACCGTCACCTATTTTTGTATTTAGTTAGCTATTTTTAGTAGAATTGTAATAAAAATTGTTTTATTTTCCCACAGAAAAAAGCTAAACCGAAGGATTAAAAATATAACAGCACGTGCATTTAACATTTAATAAAAAAAATGTCTTTTTTATTTATATTTAAATTCAATAAATGCAAATGACTATTTTTTTAACTGTAACCAATAATTTTACTCTTTTTTCTTTCCAGAAACAATTTCGCCGAGATGAGGAAGCGCTGCGATACCGACGCAAGTGGTCGCCTCCTGGCAGCGGTCCATAATCAAATGACTTTTTTCAATAAATCCCAACATTCTGGTAATAATCCATTTCTTTTCTATTTTTCTATAGATCCTAGGACGAAGATCCTTAGGAGTACCAAGGATTCTTGGCCGCACAGCTTCGTGAGACCCTTCTTCTTTGGGGTAAGTAAATAAGCGTGTGAAGTACACTCCTTCAAAATTGCTGCACATTTTAAATAAACAGATTTAATTATGTACATTATTTTATGGAGTAAATACGCGTTACACAGCTCTTCACACTACATTCTCAAAACCCACGCCAACTCTCACTCAAATCGAGACTTTTCTCACACAGTTGAGGTGTGCTACAACGTCCTCTATGGGAGATCTCAACAAAGTGAAATTAACTTTCTCCGGTATTTTATTACTTTTATTAATTATTTAGTGTTTGCTATCCCTCCTTGTGTTGCGTAATATATAAAATATATTATCATTTCTTTATACAATTTTTTTTTTCACTGAAACTTTCGTTATAGATTTATTATTTTCCGTTATAGATTTCTTCTTTGTTAGATTCCCAAGCGACGCCGATGCTTTATTATCAGTAACAGGTCATTCAAAAATTCCCTTTCTGGCCCCCTAGTAATTGTTTGAAATACTATAAAAACCGGAGAGGAACTTCTTAGCTCAGTTGTTGTTGTTTACTTAGCTGCTGTAATTTTGAGATCGGATTTGCTTTCTCTGCGCTTTGGATTGCGTTTTATTTAATTTTTTGGTAATTTAAAATATAGCTATTAATTATATTGCGGATATTGGGATATTGTACGAATATCTTTGAGGAAAAAATCCAGCGTTGTGTTATATTTCTTATGATAAAACTGAATTTTATTTTATTTTCATCGGACTAGTGCATTCAATCTAACATGAACCCGTGCGCAAGCAACACTTTTTGGTGTCAGGAGTGGGGTTCAATGCCAATTACGAGAACGATGGAAGAAGAATTGACGCAGCTCGTCACTGTTTTGGCTGCATTCCAAGGAAAGATGGAAGCTGGCCAAGCATCCTTTAAAGAAAATATTAAAGCGGGACAAAAATCTGTTAAAGCAGAGATGAAATCTTGTCAAGAATATCTTAAAAGGGAGATAAAAGCTGCTCAAATAAGATGAAAGAAGTTGATAACGTAAAAGTTGATACCGTAATGATACGCCAAAGAAGTTGATACCGTAAAGAAATTCGTAGCGACGGCAGGGAGAAATTCTGATGGTTTTAACTTTTTACCTTAGCCTGCTTGTGCCTCAATGAAGTCACCCACATGTGATAGAAATTCCTGTTGGCAAGTTTATAAGACAAAATTTTCAATAGTGTCGGAAACGAACGGATGAGATTCGAAAGCTAAGGCCTAATACATTAGATATAGCGTGAAAATGCACAATAATGATTAAATTCAAAACCGGATAAAGACTTAACATAAATAATTATACTTTAGAGCATAAACACAGCGAATAAATTGTAAATCACAAGCACACCGGTCTCCGAACGTCAACAAATCGCGTCCATGTAGGCTTTTCTCCCTTGAAAATTTAAGATGATCACCAATCCTTAAATTTGGAGTGTAAAATCAAACTAATCACTGAAATAAGTATACGAACGAAGAAAAAACACAAAGCAAACACACTTTTGCACTTTCACAAACTAATCACCGTAAAGATAAGCAAAGTAATGCAGCTGGCCAAAACGTACACAGTAATGGCCCAAGCATGTGCAGGTTCCCCAAAGCTAAGGCCTGTCATCTCGCCATTTCTCTGAGAACAGACGCTACGGATATTCTTCAATTTTTCCAGAAAACCAGAAATTAGACTTCCAAGCTCTCTCCAGCGCGTTGGAGCTGCGCTTTGGCGAGAAATATTTAAAATACATCAGTAGCTTTTAATTAAAATCCCGTCAACAGAAGTCCAAGGAAACACTCCAGGAGTTCGTAAGAGATGTTGACAGGCTGTCCCACCTCGCCTTTTCGGAGTGCTCGACAGAAACAAGGAAAATCCTGTCCCTGCCTTTTTTTATCGATGGCATCTGGGATCCCGAAATCAGAAAGCTCTGCGAATGGGGGATGTCAAGGACGTAAAAAGTGCTCTAGTGTACGCCATGAAATTTCAGGCAGCCCAGCAAGCAACTCATAGAGATCGCTACCCAGTCAGAGCTGTGAGAGTCCACGAGCCAGTGGATCAGTTATTGGCTGGTTTACATGATTTATCCAGACAAGTAAATGCTTTAATACGGAGCAGGAGTGAGAAGAAACTGACTCTAAAGTGTTAGAGATGTGGTGTTGAAGGCCACGTACGAAAGAACTGCAGAATACTCCTGGGCACGAAAAATAAGACAGACTATTTAACCAGACAACTCAATGCCTTGAGACAGAATATTAGTGATAAGAAGCCGACCCTAAAGTGCTGAAACTGCGGTATTGAAGGCCACATACAAAGGGACTGCAGAATACCCCAAAGCCCGAAAAAAAAGACAGACAATATAAACAGACAATTAAATGCCATAAGATGGAAAAGGAGTGACAAGAAACCCAAATGCTGGAACTGCGGAGCTGAAGGCGACGTACGAAGGATATCGCCTTTCCTTCGTTTGCTTATCCGGAATACCCCAGGACATGGAAAATAAGACCGTTTTCCAGCAATGACCCAGCAAAGAAATTAATGACCATATCGCGGAGCGGAGTTTGAACAGTGAAAAACCCCGTTTTAAAGCGCTCAAGATTTCTGCAGTGAGTGGCAACAGTAATGGACTATTCATCAATGGGCATATCGATGGAATTCCTTGCAATATGATTATTGACACAGGAGCTACTGTTACCATCATTCGTAAAGATTTAGCTCACCAATTTAAAGATAAACTCATTTGGATGCCATCCTGCGTTACCCTCTAGACTGCGTCTGGTGATGAAACCGACATAGATGGGAAGTTAAATATAAACATCACGTTTCCACGTGCTGCCTAGTATCACACGGCATATGTAGCAAATATTACAGATCCTTACATACTCATATTGAACTTTTCAATGAAATACAATTTTCCCTTGGACTTCAAAAACAAGCTGCATTCAACACCTGGAAACGCCAGCGCCTGATCTGAACGACCTGCTCAGAAAGCTGCCGAAATCATAGTAGGGGCGAAGAGAAACACGAGACTACCGGCTATTTTCCATTCCAGATGCTCATCGGTCGTGACATTCGTCTTCCTTGTGATATCTTGTTTAGTCACCCTCCGGATAAGCCTTCATTGCCTGAGGAATATATCCAAGATGTCCAGGCCCGGTTTGAAGTGGTGCACAATTTTGCACGAGAGCGAGTCAATTTGGCAATGGAGAACATGAAGACCCGATACGACGTGAGAGCTACTGAACATGGCTTCAATGAAGAAGACAAGGTGTGGTTGTGGAATCCAACTCAACGGACAGGACGTGGTCCGAAACTACAGTCAGCTTGGGATGGTCCGTATACAGTCCTAAAGAAGCTGAACGATGTCATGGTTTGGATCTGTAAGTCATCAAACTCTAAACCTAAAGTTGTTCATTAACGGCATGTTAGCTTCTTACTATAGCTATAGTACGATGTGTATATAATTGTAAATAGTGTAAGACCATGGTCCTTTTCGTTTTTAAATTTTTGTTTTATTTAAT